TAATTGAAAGGTCAATAGATTTGCTTAGTTCTATACCACTTTTTCAATGAACAATTTGAAGGAATCCAAGCAGCCTGTTACCAGTCTCTCCTCAATTTGGGGCAGTTAATGTCCGGCTTCCTGAGCAATGTTTTCTTTTGGATATCTTTATTCCAAATTCAAAACTAGCAATAACTTGAGCAGGCACACACACACACACACACACACACACACAAAGGGTAAAAAGAATTAAAACCCATGTTGCCCGGCAATAAGTGGAATTGTTCATTTGTGTTCCAATCTGGCTGATATACTTATTCATTCTTTAATTAAACCATATAAAATATTTGTAAAGTACAGTATGAAGTTTTTAATCACACTAAACACACATTAAAGGAAAGCACACCTCCTGTGTTTGATTGGACATGTTAATCCACCCTAAATGAGGAAGACAGAAAAATAACATAATAAGAAAAGGACAGAAATGAAGCAGTAATTTAAATTTGTATACAGCCATTAATATTTTAAAGGAAAATTTCACTATTAATAGTCATTTTCTCACTTTATTTTCTGTATACAGACTAATTCTAGACAGGGTAGAAAAAAGTCTTGATTTTTACCTTTCTTGTATGAAGTAATACAATACTTCATAGAAATAGAGATAAAGTTATCTTTTTTTAAACAAAGCATTTAGAACTAAAAAAGGTAGAAATCTCTCTAGGTAAACACTTGAATCTGCAATTTCGGGAAAAAAAAATCAGCATATGGCTATGGGTCTATTTTCCTGAATGGTTGGGAAATTTTCTGTAATTTTTTTTTCTGACCTGAATGTTTTCTTGTTTCCTTTCATTCTATAATCTGAGCTGGAACATCAAGAATTCTTTCTAACTGCTCTCCCTTCCAGAAGATGGCTAGTAAGACAACCTGAGTAATAAAATGGAGGAATTGTCAATAGTTTTCTCTTGCCTAAATACATATATGCCCCTTGCCTCCTGCTGTGTCTTCTCATTGTTTCTTGCATCACTTCAGCATATATTCAGGGACATCTGATTGATTTGATCAATACAAACTCAAATAGAAAATGGAATTATGGAAATGAAAGAGATGATAAGAAAGAGAAACTAGGTTTTATTTTTAGTAAATCAGATTCTCTTAATTTAAGTCACAAGTGAGGCTCTTACTACAAGTTTCTATCTGTTCTAGTAAATTGCCATGTCATGTACAACTTATTTTTTTTCCTGCTTACATGGAAATGATAATAGATAAAATCTTCCTGATCTTCTCACATCCTGATCAAAAGTGTTTCTACGGCTCTCTGTTGCTTACGGGAACCTCATGAGTCTAGCATCTCAGCCAGTTCTCTAATCAAATTTTCCCTTTTCACCAGGAGTCCTTTGAGCCAGCCAGCACACTCACGCAGGACTCTTCCATCCACCCTAAACCACCCTCCCTCCCTTCTCCTCTCCATGTGTGCAATAAAGCTAATTTTCCAGAACTCTGGTAAAGATTCATTGTATATGAAGCCTCTTCTTTTACTTTAGCCAGCATTGAACTTTGTTCATTCAGACTTTCTAAAGAATTTGTTCTTTACATCATTTATTTCCAAAACATATCACTTGCTTTCTGTGTATCATACACAGAGCTTAGTTCTAAGACTACAAAGTTTAATAGGACATAGTTCTCATGCTTCGGAAACTCAATCTACTGGGAAAGGTGGACATGCAAATACATTGAACAATATGTGGTAAGATAGAATACACATACATAAATCAGTCTTGGAGGAGAGCAATTCCTATGAAGTGGAAAGCTCAGAAGAGTAGGTTCCATCAGCGGTTTGATGGAAAACGATTACTTCCATACTAGCTTCCATACTAGAATTTTTGAAATTTGCTTTATTGGAACAACTCAGCAAAAAAAAGAAAAGAAAAGAAAAGAAAATACAGGTAAATATTGGACCGATTACTTTTTTACACACATAAATGTTATCTAGGTCAAAAACAAAACAGAAGGAATAAAAGGTTAAAATATAGCTTCACCGTTGGGTTTTTGTTCTTTAGCATCATCATTCTATAAGTAAGGTTAGAGGTAGGACCAAGAAACTTTCACACTCTGGTCTTTTAATAGATCATTTAAAACGGATACACAATAAGACTATGTCAAGAAACACAATGCATGGATAAAAATGCAAAGACATTTACCTTTCCTTTTCTTCTTTTTTTTTTCTTGAGGAAGATTAGCCCTGAGCTAACATCTGCCACTAATCCTCCTCTTTTTGCTGAGGAAGATTGGTCTGAGCTAACATCCATGCCCCTCTTCCTCTATTTTATATGTGGGATGTCTGCCATAGCATGGCTAGATAAGCAGTACATAGGTCCGCACCTGGGATCTGAACCAGTGAACCCCGGGCTGCCAAAGCAGAATGCCCGAATTTAACTGCTGTGCCACCAGGCTGGCTGGGACATTCACCTTTTAAAGGACTTTTAAGAAAGAATGCAGGCCATTTTATTTGTTTCTTTTTGAAATTCTCTTTCTGTCCAACAAAACTGCCACGTATGTTTTCATTCTTACCATCTTCTGTTGCTCAGTTGCCTGTTTTGGTTGCAGCTTTTCAAGTCTCATTTTCAACTTGGGAGGCACACTGATAGCTGATCACCAAACTTGTCTCATCCTCTTTGAGGACAAACAACTGAACTGTATTTCACAGCCACCCTTGATTTTAAGTGGGGCCATTTGATGGAGTTCTAGTCAATGAAATGTGCACAAAAGTGATATGCATCACAATGAGGCCCATAAAATTTCCCGTGAACAATCTTCCATTGTCTTTCTGCTTTTGTAGATTGAGGACAGACATAAAGAAATTAGAACCAAGTGTGAAGGTGGAAAAAGACTAAGTCTCTGAATTGGCTCTTGGAGAAGAGCTGCAGTCTGATCAGCAGCACCTGTTCTGGTCTTCATGCGAGCTTGAGAAATGGCATTCATCTTATGCTTTTAGCCACGTATGATAAGGAAGAGATGAGCTCAGTAAATAATTGGCTGGATTGTAAGCAGAAATAAAAGGGAGTGGAGAGAAAGTCCAGAAATTTGGTATCTTTAACAGTTAGAAAGGGAAACCATTTATTGATTCAAAGCAAGGTGAGTTGAGACTTGAAAAAGCAATGAAAAGCAAAGGCTTTTTAAGACTTGCCCTGCAGTAAGTCTCTGGCTAAATTTATTATCTGAGAAGACTTTCGAAGAATTGGCTTTAAGTTGTGAAAAACAAGAGATATTGTAGGGGAGAGTGGAAGGATGCAAAGAAATGTCTAGGAAATCACTTTGGGTGTGGAAAGTGGTATATGGTACTGACTGGAAGCAATTAGATCAGAATTCTAAGTTTTTTGAGATTTGCACTTTCAAACACATCATAAATCCAGAATAAAGAGAAGTAGACTACTGAAGCTATAAACAAACCACTAGAACTCTAAATTTGTCAAAATTGAGCTGTGAAAGAGGTACGACCCTCACGGAAGCTATACTGCACAGAAGCACTTCAGATAAAGCCAGACAGGATAAAGGACAAGGAAGAACATCTAGAGTTTGGCAACAGTGGCCATAGAAATGTTTAGGGTGAAAAAAAATCCAGGAACACTCGGAGGCAATTGGTACTAGAGTGGTTCAGAGAAACGGAAGAAGGAATATGCAGTGGTCTAACTTGTATTTTCATCTGCTGATTCTTCCTCCTCCCCTAAGAGTGTGAGGTCTTGGATTCCTGAGGGCCTTCAGCAGCATTCATTCTAGTCTCCTCCTTCTTGGGTTTTTCTCTGTCCTTCTAGGTACCACTCTTCTACCTTTATTCCCACTAAAAGGGCTTTCATTTAAAAGAGCTTTCATTAAAGGGCTTTAAAGTCAACAGTCTTTTCTTAATTTTCCATCTCCATGTACAAACTTCTATCTACCTATAGCTGTTAATGAAATTCTGTGCAACTGCCAACTACTCAGTTATGTTCTTGACATGAAAAGGAAAGATCTGGGGATTTAGAAATGCTTGTTTCATTACACACACATGCATACAACACAAAACCAAACCAAAATACTGGCTCTTAAAACATTTTCCCCAGCTATGGACTTCTGGATTTTCTTTTGATAGTTAAAGAACTGAATATTGACTCTACATTTCTGAATGCCTTTACTGAATTAAATCACAGGCACATTCAAGAAATGCATAAGACAAAAGATAATTATATCTAAAAATATTATTATTATCATGATGCTAATATGCGAAATGTTTTTAAGAAATACTAATTTAATAGAAATAATTACCTATCATTTAGTCAGTACAGAGAAATAAGTGACAAATTTTAATTTTAACTTGAAGGAATGCTCCTTTTTGGTAATGTACATGACCACAAAGTTTTTATAGGCAACTCTGATGATCATATGCTGGTGCTTGGAAGCCCATAGGTTTTAATTCAAACTCTGGATTTCTACTATTTAGTTCTTTAGACAGTCAGAGAGCTAGAATCTAATACTTTTTGCTTCTCTGTTTCTTCATTTCTAAAGTGGTTATAAGAACATTGATATTACAGTATTTGTAGTTATTAAATCAGAAACATACTTCTTTCCTTGCATAGTACTAGGCCATAGTAGGACCTCAGAAAAATTAGCATGTCCCCAACATGTTTAATAGTTTTAAAAAATAGAATCCTAATTTCCGATTTGAATTATAAATTGTAACCGTAATATTTTAAATCTTTTAACTCCCTTATAATATACAATTATTTATACACACATCTATATATAATTATAATCATCTTGCATATGGTAGATTATTTTGAGAACAGAGATGGTGTATTATTGATATTTGTCTCTATATCCAATCTGAGTTTCTATTATAGTGCCCTGAATTTAGCTGGTATTCAGTAAATGTATTACACAGAATTTATGGTTAAACTGGAGTAAGCTAGAGTTTTTCTGCCCTATTTTTGGAAAATGAAATATATCTCTTTTTTAATAGTGCAAAATGATGTGAATTTTGGAAATCATACCTGGGCCAAGTTCATGAGAGTATCTCTGAAGTGTCCTGAGGTCTCTGAATAAATGTCCTCTTGAAGGTTGCTGCTGTATTCTGGGTAAGAAAACATCCATGTGAAAGGTATGATTTATCATAGAACCACATATCAATGTGCTTTGAATAAGTTAATGTTACTTCCCCAGTTCTGAGTGGAAAGTACAGGAAATACAATCAATCTGTTGACATTTCTTTGTGTTTTACTACTTTCTACTCAGATGTAGCCAATAAACAGTCCACCAAAGAAATCTGATACCTCACAGTAACATAGGCACACGTCTGTTTTCTTAAAAAAAAGCATAGCTTTATTCCAAAATGTAAAAACAACATTGAGAGTCATTTCACATTCTCTAATTCTCAAAATTCAGAATTATGCATTCTATTTCCATAGACTGTTGCCCAGCCCAGTGCTTTTCCCAAGTGCTTTGTTTCATTTTCATATTTTAAGTAAAAGTTCTTACTTCATTCCCCTTAGAAAAGTCTTGCTTTTTTTCAAACGCAATAGAGCTGACTGTCTGGAACATTTTCTTGACATTCACTGTCACATAATACATGATGCAATGGAAAAAGGCATTAAACATTTTTGAAAATGAAAATAGTTAACCTTTCTACTTTTGAAATGTGTAAAAATCTGACTTTGAGGGAGATTACAGTGATTACGACATTTATATAAAGTGAAGTAGTTACGCATATTCGTAGAATTCACTGAGTGATTTATGGCACTTTGCTCTATTTTCTCTATGCATCTGGTCTCTCCTGGGTAAGAGATAAAATGCTGCCTGAACCACTGTGCTGGACACTTGCCTGTCTAAATGTGATAGTCACCTCATAGAGATCTGTCATTATTTTCCTGGCAAATTTGCTTAACTTGATTGTCTAGGGAATTGTTTCATTTTTAGTACCCTCATCCTCAATTTTACTTAGTGAGTTAACTGGTCTTGAGGGAGCGATATTTCGAATATAAGAATGTCTTAGGAAATTCTTTAAAATATATAAACTGGGAGTTTTTTGTGTTATTTGAAAAATGTAAAGTTCATATGTATAAAATGTGTGTACATAATATATTTCCTTACGCAAACAGTAGGCTTCTCGCATCTGGAAAATTTCTGCATTTGTTCTTGAAGCAAATATATCAATGAGGCAATTCTCTTCAGTGCCTGCACCCTACAAAGACAGAGAAGGAGCGAAATATAAAGGTGTTTGTATTGAGAACAGTAGTGCACCTTATGTACAATAAAGGGATATAGCATTCCTGGTATTCTGAGAGGGGACAGAGGGGAATGGAAGTGTGTTGGGCATAGACAGACCCAATTCAGTTGTGACTTTGCTATTTACTAGCTGTTTGACCCTGAGAAGATAATATTATCTGAAACTCTGTTCCTTCATTTAGAATAAAACAGCATGGGCATTTCTAAATAATGTGGAAAAACATGTTTAAACAATGATTATGACACTGATTTTATTTTCTCTTTTGTTCCTAGAATATCAGTTCTTCGGTAAGCTCAGATTAGAACGTGGCTCTCCTAACTTCCCAAGGACGTTTCAGGGGCTTCTCCTGGCCTCATCCTAGATGTGGAATTTTGTACCCTTTGCCTAAACACTTGGACTGAGTACTTTCTGTGATCTCTTACAGCCATATGCATATATTCTTCTCTGATAGTGATTTTAAAGAACAAATATTTTTCAGGAAAGCTTCAGAAATCCTTACCATTCTATGAGATGCTAATAAAGTATAACAGTTTCATCTAAACAGTAACATATGACTTCTCATAGTTTTTAGTCACATAATTTTGAAAGAGGTAGGAACTGACATATGCAACTTTTTTTTTTTTTAAAAAGTGATTAATTGAAATTCATATGGATTTTAAACAATATCTATTCTGATGGATAAAAATGATGGCCAAAATCCAGATTCCCTTAATTTTTTTCCCCTTTCCTTTTTCCTGTCACACATTGTTCACAGATTGTGGTAATCTGGTCATTGGCAGGCATCACATTGGAATGATTTCAACAGTTCTGCAGGTGTTTAATATCAGCATTTGGAAAGATGTAAAAAGCCTTTCATCCCCCATTCCTAGCCGACAAAATCTCTAGCAAATCTGTAGTCAATTATTTCACAGAAATGACTTTCCTATAAGAAAGAATTGTCCTAATCCTTCAAAAGTAAAATTTTGATATACTTGAGCAATAGTTTTTGTAAAGTACTAACTTAAAGTCATAAAAATAAACAAATAAAGATGTCATTTATATTTCATCTTTGACTCTGTATCTTACTTTTGCTTGATGATCCCAATTTTTAGAAATAATTTAAAGAGGTTGACATAACTTATAACATTTCCCCTTAATATAAGAATACACACTGGGGAGAGACAAATCGGAATAGCCCCAGAAGCTTTCTTACTCTTTTCTTTTGGTAGCTCAGTGCAGAGCCTGGTCAGTGAGTCTGCGTTTGTATAATAAAAGAACGGGCTGATCTGAGCTACCGGGCTCTGGAGGTCTCCTCTTTCCAACAGGGTCACTTCCCCTGACCATCACATTTTCATTGTTTCATCTTTGCTCAGATATTTCCTCCTCTCTCTCTGATCACAGGTAGCAACATCACAGGGCAGTTCCCTCTCTACTGAAATATCGGCCTGTACCTGTTACAAGTATATTTTTGCAACAAACCACTACCTTCATGGCATGCCAGAGTTCATGAGCATCATAAGATGGCGGTGGGTACATGAGGCCAACCATGACATCTTTGAAGTGATCTGAAAGCTTCTCCTTCAGGTCACCAATCAGGTCCTATGGAAGGAAAAGTAAACACTTTTATTATATCAGTTACCAATTTTATAAGAGAAACGGGATAATTACAGGAAGTCTTCTGTAAGATTTCCTTTTCCATGTCATTTCACTTTAAGAAGTCTGGTTTTGATTCACACATATATACATAGATTATACGAGATGATGAACTTGAGGGTTTGAAAATGACTGATGCAATCACATCTCTGTATGACATGTCATCCATATGGACATTCTGGTCATATAAACATCGAATGATTTTCTTTCCCTAATCCCAACCCCAACCCCTCTTTTGATCTCATTATGAAAATAAATAAGAGTTGAAACCTAAAAACATTTTGGTTGGGGGTTCTTAGTTTTCTTGCGTGGAATTAATGAAACATTAGTCCTTAACTAAAATGTGCATTTTATTTTATTTTATCATTGTAGCAGTCTCTTCTAACAGGGAGTTCCTGGTTATACTATTGGCAACAAGCTTGTGTAAATGAATTAATTAAGTAATCTTAGAACTTCTTCCAAATAGCCACATTAATACATTTATTTACAATATTGAAAGTTAAACATTTAAAGAGAAAAACAAGTATGGGGGATTTTTGTACTTGGAATACAGATATAAAAGGATGAAATTGATCATTTTAATTTTGACTTTTCGTTTACCTGTGTATAGTGGATATTTAAAAACATATATGTTAAATTGATTTTTTGTAGGATTACAGAGCTATCCTAAAGATGCTTAAAATTTACCATTTCTTGCTAAAATCTATACAGTGTATTCTATTTCACTTTAAAAATATGCACTATTTTAGTTCTGAGGTGGTTCAATAATAGAACTCAAGTGGAAGATGCCAATAAGGCATAATAAGCTTTATTAGAATAAAAACAAAACAGTCATAATTCTAATTTTATTTAGTATAATCTGACAACACCTTTCCTACACTGTGGATTTTCTTTTTTAGCAAGTAAAAGCATTCATCCACAAGGTGGTAATTGGTAATACACAGAGTCTACTGAATTTTTGCTAGAGTCAAAGCAATTCATTTAGTGAGCAATTAATAAATGTCCAGAGTTGTGTCGGGGGCTTGGAGTATATGCAAGAAGCATAAGATCTCTTCTTTTATGGAGCTTATATTCCGTTTAATTCACTCATTACTCATCATTGATATTTCTAATTCCTTTTCCAAATAGTTGTTAAGGATTCTCTTATGAGCCAGGCACTCTTCCCGGCACTGGGACTGTAGCAATGATAAAAACAAATATGAACATTTGAGCTTGTGAAACATATTCTCATGTATACAGAAGCTCTATAAATATGTTTTGAACGAAAGATTGCAGTTATTCAACACATATTTGTTTAATGCTGTTTCCCAGACAGGGTGGTAGGTGCTGCAGAAATGCAACAGAGTCTCTATTTTCAAGGAGATTTGCCTTCCACACACTCAGTGATAACATACATAAAATGTGAGCTGATATACTTTCTAAGGCTTTCAATATCATTTTCACATGATAAGACCCTAAAGTAGTAGTACAAGAGGGTTATAAGAATTCAGATGAGAGATTCGAATGGATTTATAGGATTAGGGAAGTGCGACATGTTTAGACAAGGAAGGATAGGAAGTACTCTGATAGGAGATGGAGAAGCCATTCGTGATGGCTAATTTTGTCAATTTGGCCAGATATTCAGTCAAATATTATTCTATATGTTTCTGTGAAGGTCTTTTTTAGATGAGATTAAAATTTAAATCAGTACACTTTGAATAAAGCAGATTATTCTCCATAATGTGGGTGGGCCTATTCAGTCAGTTGAAGGCCTTAGAAAAGGTCTGACCTCCCGGAAGAGGCAGAATTCAACCAGCAGAGGACCTTTGGAACTAAACTGCAACTCTTTCCTGAATCTCCAGCCGGCAGGCCTCCCTTACGATTGTGAACTTGCCAGTTTCTACAAGCACGTGAGCTAATTCTTTAAGAGCGAGATCTTGTCTTTTCTTGGTGTGTAGGGGCACTGAGGATGGTCCTAACGGAGTTGCAGGCAGAAGATAGGCTGGGACGCACTCAGCATCAGGAGCAGCTCAGAGAACGGCTGAAAAGGCCTGCAGTGCTGCTGCCTGGACCTGCTCTTCCCAGAGAAAACCCAGTCTCGCGGGATCTCGGGAGTTCTACCCGACTGGCAAGGGATTCCTGTGATGAGAAACAGCTGAGTGCCTTGGCTACCTGATGGCCCCTTGTCCCACATTCGCGTGTAAGGGGTCTGGATCACGCCACCTAGCAAGCAAATATGTGCATATATACATACTCTGTTGATTTTGTTTCTCTGGAAAACTCTAATAGACTATTCAAGAAAGTAAGTCAGTCAGAAAAAAAGTGTAGAGTCAGGGATAATTCTTGTGTCTGTGTCTGTGCGTTTGCGTATTAATAAACAAGTGTGATTAAGTCAATCTGAAGAGATTGAAAGATCCACTTGGAGACGAGATGCATGTTAAATTAGACTTATAGAGCAGAATTGTGTGGTGGTTGTGGATCTTTTTTCCTGTGGGAACTCAGGAATCAGGGTGGCTTTTGGTGACAAAGGAACTCTAAACCTGTGTTCCATTAATTCACCGAATAATTATGGCTTTGGGAAATGATTTTTATCAATATGCATCATCAAAAAATATGGATCTGTAATTAATATTATTTTAATATCTGCCCCTTTAAATTTTTCTAAAGTGAGATCTCTTATGTAAGAGAAGCTTTGTGACTTAGAGTTATTTCCTTAAATAATTTCCAGTTATTTTATTGTTTTAAAATTGTGAGATACAACACATTTCTTAATGCACTTGCCCATGTAAAGTTAAAAAAAGAAATCTTTTTAAAAGGAATGAGATATTTGTGTAGGGAACATATCAGAGTCTGAATAGATCTAATAACTACTTTTATTAAAAAAAATTACTAAGTAATTTTAATCACCCTGACTCTTAACTGCCTCATCTCTAAGTCTAGTCTCCCTTGCATAGGTGTTTTAAGGATTGTCAAGTAGGTATGATACTTGCCTCTTGACGACCTGTGCTCAAACTTTTTGCCCTTCAGGTCATGCTCTTACTCCCTAGACATGGGAGTAGAGGACTCTTTCCCCTAACTGTATTGTTCTGTCTGGGCTGTCTTTGCTTTCTCAATCCTCCCGGTTCACTCTCTCCCACAACCACCTACAGTTCCTTCACAATAATGAGGACCTTGCAATAGTTGGAACAGCACGACTGAGATATGTCCTTCAATATGGCTTGCAATGTGCCTCTGTGAATTTGTTCTCTCACTACCACACAATTAACTTCAAAACTAATAATAAAAATGTATCTGGAGAATCCCAAATATTTGGAAACTAAACAATATACTTCTTTATGATCCAGGGGTCAAAGAATAAATCACAAAGAAGTTAGAAAATACTTTCAATTAAATGAAGGTGAAAATACATTTGTGGCAGGCAGCTAAGACAGTGCTTGAAGATTTATATTTAGCTTTAAATATTTATATTAGAAAGGAAACATATAAAATCAATGACCTAAGCTTCCCCCTCAAAAGAAAGAAAAAGAGTAAATTAAATCTAGAATAAGAAGGAAGCAAATAAGACTAAGATCAGAAATCCATGAAACAGAAAATTGATAAATACTAGAAACTGTCAATGAAATCAAAACCTGTTTCTCTGAAAAGATCAGTAATGTTAATAAAATTCTGATTAGACTGCTCATGAAGAAAAGAGAGAAAATACGAAATACCAGTATTGGAAATATAAAAGTGTCATGTGCAAATGCTACAGATATTAAAGGAAAAAAGAGAATATTATTAACAGATTTATACCACTATATTTTAAAACTTAGTTGAAATGAACCAATTCCTTGACAGACACAAATTACTAAAATCAACTCAAGCAAAATTTCAAACTCAATCTGAATTTTCTTATATTAATTTAAAAAATTCAGTTCATAATTGACCCCCCCCCCCAATCTTTAGACCCAAGTGGAAGCACTGATAAAATCTACCAGACATTTAAGGTAGAAGTAAAATTAACTCTACACAAAATCTTGTGGAAAATGGCAAATGAAAGACTTCTCAGTTTATGTGGCTAGTATTGCCCGAATACCAAAATAAATAAAACTGCAAAGAAATTTGCACATTGACATCCTTATGAACAAGACACAAAAAAGAAATGTATCCAAATATTTATAAATCAAATTCATCAATATGTAAAATATGTAAAAAGAATAACACATAAGACCAAGGAGGATTTATCCCAGGAACGCAAGGTCAGTTTACACTTGAAAATCAGTCCTCATTTTAGCAGGAAAAAAGTTACATGATGATATCAATAGTTGTAGCAAAAGCAGTTAAGAAAAGTTTGACACATAAACATAATAAAAGCTCTTAGGAAAGAATGAATAGAATTAATTTTTCTCAAGCTGATAGAGGGCACTTCTGAAAATTCTACAGCTAAGATGATGTTTAGTAGTGAAAAACTGAATGCTCATGCTGTAAGATTGAGAACAGGGCAAGGATGTCTGCCCTTATTACTTGTATTTAGCATTGTGTTGGAGGTTTATACCTAAAAAGAAAAGCTATATCTTTTAGGAGAAAGCATAGGAGCAAATCTTTGAGTTTTGGTGTAGGCGAAGAATTCTTAGTACGTAAAAGTACAAACTATAAATGAAAAAAATGATGAATTTGACTTTCTCAAAATAAAAACTTCAGTTCTTCTAAGGAAACCACAGGTTGTCACTCCACATATCTGACAAAAGAGTCGTACCCAAAGGTATAAAAATCTCTTAAAACCAATATTAAGAAGACAAACAACCTGATAAAAATATAGACAAAGGATTTGAACAGATACTTAACCAGAGAAAATATAAAAATGGGAAATAAGCTCATGAAATGATGCTTAATAACATTAGGCATTAGAGTAATGGGAATTAAGACCACAATGAGATCACACTACACATTCTCTTGAGTGACTAAAATTACAAAGATGGATAATACCA